ACCAAAAGCCTGCTCTTGTCAAACATCCTGTCCTGTAGCTACTCTCTCCAGGTGCTAGTAGGTTCTTCCTCCCCTTCATCCTTCAAGCCTACTATCAACATCTCTGAGGTTCTGCCCCACCTCTTAATTGGTTTTTATTTATTCCAGTGTACCAGCTAGCTATTGCTATACTAATCTATATATCCACCTCTCCAAAGTCCAATATCCTAAAACAACCATTTGTTCTCATAAACCTGCAGGTCAGCTAGAACTTGGCTGATTTAGGCTGGGTTCAGTTGGACATCTTTACTTCATGCTCTGGTAGCTAGAGCAGCTATGCTGATTCTCACTGTAGCTCTATAGGAGAGTCGGACCAACTCTATTCCACATGTCTCTCATCCTCCTTGGGCTAGTATGTATACTTCTGTCATGGTGATGACAGAGGCTCATAAGAACATACAAAAACATGTCGGGGGCTGGACCTGGGAGGCTCGGTCAGTTAAGCATCTGCCTTCAGCTCAGGTTATGATCTTGGGGTCCTGGGTTCAAGCCCCACATCAGGCTCCCCACTCAGCAAGGAGTCTGTTTCTCCCTTTCCCTCTGCCCCTCCCCCTGGTCATGTGTGCGCATGTACTCTCTTGCTCTCTCTCTGTCAAATAAATAAGATCTTTTTTTAAAAGCCCAAAAAACATGTGATTCCTCTTAAGGCCTAAGATTGGAGCTGGTATCCTCTCCCACTCCCATGCCATTGGCCAAAAAGTTACATGAGCAAGTCCAAAGACATGAGGCAAGGAAGTACACTCCACCCCTAATGAGGACATGAAAGGGTATGGACAGAGATAGGGATGAAGAATTGAGCTCTACTCAATCTAGCATAAATAGTCACTTTATTAAACCCACCTCGATGACATTATTTGAGTGTGCCACATTTTGCCTTCTAGGCTCTGAACTGATATAAGAATAGATACCAGGAAGGGCCCAGAAAACAGTCCCCCAAAACAGGATTCTGATATCCTATTGCTCTCATAGCTGAAAAGCACAGAACTAACCTCCTTACTAGGAGAAAATGGTATACTGGTAATCCATTCCAATAATGACATTCAGTGGCATCACAGTGACTCAACTTATCCTACAGGGTGGCAAGGAATGAAGTGCAGGTGGAGGACAATGGAAATCAAGTTACTGTGGTACTTAGTCTCCATGGTGACAATCATGATTATAAAGACTGTGGCATTGGCTGGCTGCTTCTGATGGCTCCCCAGAGAGTAAACAGTGAAAAGGACATACTGAAAGCCTCTTAATATCCAACTCAGAACCAGGTAGAAGATCAGAAAGTGTCTATGGTAGCTCTAAAGGACTCCATGTCCTGTAGTCTCTGAATTGATATGGATGAAGACCAAGTCTAGAAAATAATTTTAACAGCTACAGAGTTGCAAACCCAATTAAATACTCAATCCTTCAGTTTCTTAGATCCTTCAATCTCTTAGAATAAGCTGAGCATGCTGATAGGAAGGAAGTGGGGTCCCAACATATGGAATGGGCACATTTATGTAGACCTGATGGGACTGAGGACTTGAATGTTCAAAACTTGCTAAACCTCCCTGAATGTCCTGCAATCTCTTTCCCACTGAATAAAAACTTTTCAGTGACTGCACCAAGGAAACTCAATTCCCCTTAGGACTCACCTCCACTACCCTCATTGCTTCCAGATCGTCAAGAAAAGTTAAAGAGCAGCATAGTTCAGACTGTAAAGTACCAGCCCTGGGCCTTGAGGAGAGAGACTATATGCCAAAAGATTTGCGGGACTTCGGGAGTCTGAGGAGGGTGTATTTAAGTGGATTCTAAGTCTGTTAGACCAAGAAGAATATACCTTAAGACTTGATTAGCTAATTTTTGAAAATGGATGCACAACTGGGAATTAGGATTTAATGTTATGATTTGAGTACTTGGGAAGTGGCATTACTAGACAAGTAAGTTGGCCAATCTCAACTATAAGCTACAGCCAGTAAGATCAAAATGTCAGAACTTCTCTGGCATATACAGATGGAGGAAGAAGTCTAAATGCTGCAGAATATGAGAATGTTAAAGTGAATCTGTTATAGGCAACCTGCTCACCACCCCCATCCCTATTCCCTCAGGAGGCCCCAGAGGATACTCTATTCCTCAGAGCAATAAGAAATTAGTTGAATTAAATTAATCCTAAAACCTGAAATACTCTGTTGGATCACTCACTGGAGTGTGTTTATGAAAGTCAGGTAAAAAATGGAGTTTTTGTCCAAGTCCAGTGGGACCATGGATCAATGCCATGGTTCTCGGTCTTCGAAGGTATATTTTGAATAGATATACTTAGTAACTGGAAGAATCTTCATTTTGGTTCCCTGACCCACAGGGTGACATCTATTATGGCCAGAAGGGAGAACCAAGTGGAAAGCCTTAGAACTGCCCTACCTCAACCCATTCCCCCCTGTCAAACTAGTAATCCAAAAACAAATCCAGCATCCTGAAAGAATTACAGAGTCAGTGTCACCATTAAAACTTGAAAGAGGCAGAGGTGTGATTCCAGTCACATCCCCATTTCACTTCCTTCCTGGCTCTTGCAAAAGCCAGATGGTCTTGGAGAAGAGCTATAGATTATCACACACTTAATCAGTGGTGCCATTTATAGCCAACTCTTCATGTGGTTACTTTGTTGGAGCAACACAACAAAGCCCTTGGAAGCTGGTACGCAGACACTAAATTAACAAATTCTCCCCCACTCTCCATTCTTATCACCAAAAATAATCAGAAGCAATTTGACTTCATGTGGCAGGGACAACAGTATACTTTCACTGTTAATGTTCCTGCTCTTTGTCATCATATAGTCTTGGAGACACCTCAATTGTCTTGATATCTTTTAGAACATCATACTAGTCCCTTACGCTCTTACCATGATAGAAAGCACAAGGGCTTACCACATCAGTGAAGTTCCTAAGGATCTAGTGGTCTAGTTCATGTCAAGATATACTCTCTAAAGGAATAGACAATTGGCTGTATCTACCCATAAAAAGAGGCACAATACTTGGCAGGACTCTTTAGATTTTAGCAGCAACATATAGTACATATGAGTGGGTTTCTCCTACTCATTTATCAGGAAAATCCTAATAAGGCTGTCGGTTTTGAGCTAGATCTAAACAAGGAAAGACTTTGCAACAGGTTGCTGAACAAGATATACTTCCACTTTTAATTATATAGGGCAATGCTGACTACAGGTAAGTGAATGGGGCCCATGGGGCTCTCTCCACCAGGATTACTTTGCACAGCTATGGTCAAGGAAGGTTTCTTGGGGGAAGAAGAGGTATGGGATCATATGTTGGAGAAGAAGCATGAATCCGTTCCAGCCAGGGAAAACAGCTAAAAGGCTTGTGTGTTTCCATTTAGCTTTGTTTCAAAAACCTGGATCTCAGGAAGAAGTATCATTCCTAAATTGGAGAGGTCACATGAAGCTCAGAGTTTCCTGTCCTCTGGTGACACAACCAGGATTAGGGATCATGGGCTGGCTTCTACCCAAGTACCTCCAAACCCTGTCCTAATAGTATGAGTGTTTTAAAGTAAGTCTTTGCCGCCAACACCATCTCTGTTGATATGCCCATACGGGGAGGTGACCCAAAATGGGGAAAACGAATGTGATATCCCTGGGTAAATCTTCACAGGATAGTGGTTATGGCCACTCTTACCCGATATATTTATTCAAGGATGATTTTTTTAACTTGTTTTCCATTCTATAGGCCACAGTCCCTTGAAGGACAGACTCCTTCCTGGGAGCAGACTATGGCTGTCTTAGAGGTGGTTTCTCTCTGGAACTTTTCCCTAAGGGTCCCCAAATCGGCCCTGAGGCCAGAGGAAAGGGGAAGAGTAAGAAGGGGGGCCCTGTGTGGTTCTGCCTTCCCTCTGGCTTTGGCGAGGTTGGAAATAAGCGGCACGGTGCACCCAGCTCCCTGACCGCTAGGACTCCAGGGGAGTCCAGCGAGCAGCCAGAGAATCAGGGGTCTCATTGGTGAGACCAGCAGAAAGGAACCTTGAGACCCGAGCTGCCGTCCGTCCCCGGCACCGATGTGCCCTCGCCCCCATCTCTCGGGGAGAGAATCTGTGTCAGGAGCTGAGGAGGCGGGCAAGGGCGTAGTAAATATTTGGCAACGTTAGCAGCTTCCCCAATGGGGATGGAGAAGCGAAGGATCCAGAGAGCAACATGGAGGCCCAGGCAAGCCCGAGCCCTGTTGTGGCTCCCACTCTCGGGGAAAAAGGAACAGGCTTCCGAATACCCGCCTGCTGCCCGCGCAGCTCACCGCCCCCCCGCCCCCCGCCCCCCGCCAGGCGAGCGGCACCGCGCCGGGGGGCCGCCGCCCGGGAGGAGAGGAGCGCCGAGGCGTGGGGACAGCTGGGGGCGGCGGCGCCCTTTGTGCGGGGAGCCGCTCCGGGGCCGAGAAGCTGCCGGGGGAGTTGCAGGCAGCATAATAATTGGTTTCTCCTCCACCACACGGTTGTTAGCGGTGGTGGGCTTATCGCCGCGGTTTAGCGCTGGGCAGCGCCTCGCCTCCCCCCGCGGCGCTCGCAGGCTCTCGGGCTCCCCCGCCGCCCGCCCTCCCCGCACCCCCCCACCCCACCCCCGCGCCCCGGGATGGGCTCCCGCTGCCTCGTCCTCTCCCTCCGCGTGCGCGTCCCCCGTCCGCGTCTCCGTCCCCGGGAGCGTGCAGCCGGGGAGGGGGCAGGCGCCAGGCTAAGGTACTAATTGTATTAACGAAAATGGCAAATACGCATCCTTCCCATCTGGCAGCACAAAAGGAGAGGCTGTGGGAATGCAATCACCCACTCCAGGAGAGAGTAAAATATTTGTCAGGTTTAGCAATGAAATTAATATCCCCAATTACTAGAACTTCACTAATGAGATGAATACGATTTGCCTTTCCTAGTTGCAAAAGGAAGAACCTGTCGCATAAAACCCTAAGTGCGTTTTTTGGGGGGGGTTTTTTGTTTTTTTTTTCTTGCAGGAATCTCTTGCCGTTGAGACAGGCATTCTCCCCGTCTGAGGAGTCCGGGTTGTGAAGCTGGAGACGATGTTCTGATTGTTGGTGACGCACACCCTGACATTACAAACTGGGGTTGGGGGGGGGGTGTCCATCTGGAGCCTGTGCTCCCGGGACTCCAGAGGGCTCTGGACAAGTCCCCAGACCTGCATGACAAGATGGTCAAGCCCCCCACACACCCCTGGCGCACCCAGTCACTTTTGCCATGCCACCTGCCTGCCTTCCAGGTCGACTGCAACAAATGGTTGTAGCCAGATATTTCTGCAATTTCCGACATTTTTTTTCTTCATGAAATTTGTATATAGCAAAACCTGGGTTTGCTTTAGGCAGAGCATATGTTTCATATTTATTGGAATAAGTTTTCTGGTTCCTTAGCATTCTGTTCACTGATATTCCGTATGTTAAAAATATCTCCGTTTTTCCCCTGATACTCAGTAGTAGGCAGCCACAGTTTTCGTCTATAGTTTTTCTGGGTAGAAACCAGAATCTGCTCTCCACAGCCCGGGGGAGTATTCTATACCTTAGGAGAGGGATGACCTGATTTCCCACCCATGAAGAGAAATATGATTTTCTTACTTTCCACCAGTTCCACGGGTAAGGATATCAGGCAGCCTGATTCCAGGGAGCAAAGACCGGATTTTAGGAAGGAAAAAGCTAAGGCCAAACCTTTGCCTGTCACTTAGGGGTTCTGAAATTCTGATTCCTCTTGCAGGTCTGTAGTGTGTTCCGTGGAGGAAGCATAAAGAAGAGTATCCGAACACTTCGATGAGTGGGGGGACTCAAGGAGATTGCAAATAAACTCAGCACGTGCACTCTTCCCAGGAGGAGTGGGTTATCAGTCCCTTGGGACCTCAAATGCTGAGCCCAGGGCTCTAACAGCCTCTGTGATTTCCCAGAGGTCCAATGGGGAGGCCATCTTCCCTGCTGAGTCCCCCCCAAGAGGCACAGGGAACTGCCATTTCAGCAATGGGAAATTGATTTTTATGACAACTTCAGCAATAAGTGAATAAATGAATAAGCCAGAACTATCCACACTTGAAAAACAGTTTTTGGAGTTAAGATGGTGAAATCAATATCCGAACTCTTAGGCATGTGTGTGTATATACATAATATGCACATAATATACAAACACATAATGTGTGTGTGTTTGAGAGAGAGGGAGAGAGAAACAGAGCGAGAAGACAGAGAAAGACTGCCAGAGAGACAGAGACAGAGACAGAGAGAATGAGACGGTTGGGTGGGGCTGGGGGGTAGAGGGAAGAACAAACCACTCCTTGGAGCAGACCCCATTTGAATGTGCCCCTCATCTGCTGGGAGAATGGATAGAGGATGGAGTTGCCAAGGTCAAGGCTATTCATCTACTGGCCCCAATAGCCCCTCAGAGACCTCCTGGGAAGACCCTCCCCCTCAAAACCCATTGATAGGAATGCCTGCAGCTTGTTGCCTCGTCTGAGCCAGGATGCTGTCCAGAGCTGTCCAGAGCCACACGTCATGGCTTTGTAGGCCCACTAGCAAATTAGGTGCCCAACCTGGACCCTGACCTGTCTTCTCTGGGCCTGGCCTCAAAGAGATTCTGTAAGCAGACCGACCTCATGAACTCCTTATGATTCAAATATTCTTTTAGAAGTGGATTATCGTTCACTTAAAATGCCTTTTCTAACATAAACATGTTTGTTCACTCACCCAACAGTTGTTTATTGAGTACCTGGTCTACCAGATGCTGGGAACACCATGGGGACATAGAGCTACAATCTCAGATCAACGCGTAAAAACCGATTCAATCGATAATAAAGGCAAACTAATTTTTGTGTGCGGGAGAACTACATTCTGAGTTCCAGCTTGGGCTACCTGGAAAATAGCATTCCTTGCCTTGGCAATAGCAATTGGAACTCCCACCTGGTCCCTGAGCAACTGCAACAAAAGAAAGAAGTGCAGAAACCAGTATCTGCGTGTACCGACTGTTTGTCTGGTGGTGCTAACACTTTACATCCATCTATGGGGTACGGCTCTGTGAGACAGACACAATTGCTCTCATTTTACCGGTAGAGAATCCAACTCTCCCAAGCTACGTCAAGTCGCTTAAGGTCAGACGGTTAGCGACTAAGCTAGAATTTGAGCCCAGGCTGCTGACACCAAAGTCCATGTTGCTTCTTCTGCTCATCAGCTGACTGCCTCAGTTTGGACTTTGGCCCCGAAAGATGGGGCAGCTTGGAAGGTGAGGACTGAAGGTACCTTTCCAGGGCTTCTGACCATGGTTGGCCATGGGGCCACAGGGAAGTAGAGCGTGTAGATGCATAGATGATTCCTCTGTCGAAATCCAGCTCTGACAACACCAGCCTCTTCCCCTGACGTGGCTTGTGGCTGTTACGTGCCCTGCTGCCTACCCTGGAATCCTCAAGACTGACAATATATTCAAGTTCCCAAGACTCAACTGGAGCTCAGAACCCTTTCCTTTCACCGTGTTTTCTGAGGGAGCTGCTGCTGGAGACAAGCAGGAGGAAGCCAGAGCGTGAGTAATGAAAGAGTTGCTTATGTAATAGGAAACCACCCAGTCTGGACCACAGGGACCTGTCTCGGAGTCAGGGAGACCGAATTCCAGAGTTCTGTTCCAAGATCTACCATGCTTGGACCTGTCCCCTTGAGCAAATCACCCACACCTTCTCCCATTTTCCCCCATGTAACCTTGATGGGGGAGGGGGAGATACCCTTCCTCCCATTTCCCACTGAGAGGCCCCCAGGAATGCCTGCACGGGGAGCTGTGTGACAATTTGAGAGACATTCTTTTCTTTCTAACCCCCAGCCCAAGCCTCTCACCTCCAGATGCTAACTTTTCCACGGCACTCCACAGGGGTGGTGGCCCCATTTGTCTCTCAAGTGTCTTTAGACTTATTTGATGTGCCTAAGATGTCTTCTCCCCCAGGGGCCCCGTAAGGGTTATCATGGCTTCTAATTATCAAGCTGTGTGCAAAGGAACACCAGCGGCTGCTCTGACTTAAAATGGAATGAGTCTCGACCTGGATACCTGTTTTCTAGTTACCACTTCTGTCACTAATGAGATCTCTGTCTTGGGAAAGTCACTTACATCTCTGGAACTCAGCTTCTTCATTTGTAACAGAAGGGGATCAAGCCGGCTGTCTCTGAGAGTCTTTGCAGTTCCCTGGTTTTGATCCCCTTACCTAGGAATTGCAATCATCTTCTACAGGGACTCTCCCCTTCCTGAAAGGTCGCCTTACACCACTTCGCTTTTACGAAAAGACATAGAATAATGGTACCTGCTTTCGCTCACTGAAAGAAATCCAAAGAGTATTTCTGCTTTCATGACAGAGGGTGAAAAGCAAAAATAGTATTCGGGGTGCGTTTGTCCCAAAGAGGCAAGGTGCACACCCTCTCCCCCAAATGGTGAGAATGGCCCCATGAGAGCTTTGAACTGTGTCTGTGAGCAGCTGTGCTTGATCTTGATTTATTTCGTGCATCCATTTGCAAGATGCGCCCTAAGATATCAGAAAGGCTCGAGAGAGGTTATTTTGGGGGTCTGCAACAGTTAAAAATTTTCCCATATAAATTAATGGTAATTGGTTCTTCACTTTGTATCATTTTGATTTAGGAATGGTTTCATAGGAACGCTCTGCTTTTGGGTAGCAGGAGAACCCTTACTTCCTTTTATTTCATAACTTTAGGAATGACAAGACTCCATGGGTTGATCGGAATGGACACACAGAAACATGCACACAAACCCAGGCCCTTCCCCAGTCATGCACCTACTTAGTCCCCTAGTGTCAGGTTGTGAGAAGCACCATTCCAACCACTGCCACCAGATGTCTTAAACTCGAGCTGCTGCCCATCGCCTGCCCTGACACCTGCTCCCCAGGACCTTTGCCCCCATCCAGTTCCTGGAGAGTTTCTTCCGCACAGCAGGTGGCTGCCCACCAGCCAGCCACTCTCTGAAGTTAGAGGGCGAAGCTGGAAGGGGAGACTCGCTCCTTGCCCAGCCACCCGCATCCCAGCCTCAGGACAGCTTTGCTCTGCTCCCCACGCCCTGCGTGGGTTGGCTCCTGTTGCTAGGAGAACCTGACCATTTGCATTTCCTGCTGTTTTTATTTTAGATTAGCAGCCGCACTGCTGCAGGAACACAGGGTATTTTAAGAAAGACAGAAAAGGGAATGGTGAGGGGAGCACCTAGCATGGGACCTCCTTCCCAAAGGCCTCCCAGGCACCCAGACCAAGGGGGACCCATCCCAGACCCCGGCCCCACCCAGGCCTGTTGTTTCCTCGCCCCTGAACAGCACCATTCCCCAGTCCTGGCATCTTCATGAGCATCAACCTGCAAGCCACACAGGAACAGAACCACGGTCTTCTTCCAGAAAAAGATTGAGGCTTGTACTCAACCTAACACACACAGAGCACCAGTTTCCCCGTTTTCAAACAAACAAATAAAAACACTTCTACATTCCCATAGAGATCTCCAACTCTGTCAAAACACTTCATCTCCAAAGATGGCTCGTATTTCCTCCTTTCCCTTGCCCCTCTCTCTAGGCCTGCCTTAAAGATGGAGGCTTGGCTTGTCCTTCAAGGCCTCCCAGAAATCAGTGTTACCAATCTCTTTTAGGGTTCCTGACCCCAATTCCAATGGTGGGGGTTGGGGAGAGGTCCCCCACACACTACACCAAGCAATTCTCAGAGAACCTGCTGGTGTCCAAGAATTCAATTCTGACACTAACTACCCAGAGATAACATCAGGTGATCCTGTGGTTAAGGGCTCAGTCCTACAGGACTGCCCCTCATGCCCCATGTCAGATGCCCGTCACAAGCCCCGGGCTGTCACCTTTGCTTCTGACCAACCAGCTACAGATTGGAGGCTCCAACGGCCTCCTCCTTAGATTTGATGAATTTGCCAGAGCAGCTCACAGAACTCCTGGAAACACTTACATCTACCAGAGTATTAAAGGATGTGATAAAGGATGCAAATCAGCAGCCAAATTCAGAGATGCATAGAGTGAGGTCCTGAACAAAGGAACTCTGTCCTCATGGAGCTTGGGGCCCTACTCTGTTGCACGTGGAAGCATTCTGGTTTCCCAAGCATGGAAGCTCCCCTAAAAAGAACCCAAACACTGTCCTCTTGGGTTTTTATGGATGCTTCATTACATAGTCATGATTGTCTAAGTATTGCCTATTGGCTGATTCCAACTCCAGCCCCTCTCCACTCTCAGAGGTTGGAGGAGGGAGACTGAAAGTTCCAACCCTTTAATCACAAGGTTGGTCCTCCTGGCAACCAGCCCCCACCCTTGGGTGGGGTCCAAAAGTTACCTGCATTAATAACAAGATACCCAGTTCACCTTCATGGCTCTGAAATGTTTTCAGAAACTGTGGATAAAGACCAAATATATCTGATAAATACATTTCGGTCATCTGAATGATGAATAGATATGTATCTTATCTTATATCTATATCTTATCTTATCTTATATCTATATCTTACCTTATAAATCATTATATTGAACCTTCCCAGACCCATTTGTTCAATTAATCTCTCCCTCCCGGTTCTAAAAATACCTGCATCTTCTCACCATTACTTTTGTTTCAGATCAGGAATCTATTCTTCTGTCTCACCCACTAGACTATTGAACACCCAGAAGCCAGTATTTTTGCAATTTGTTTAATCCCCGTCTTACTGCTAGAATATTTGCTCACAATATACGCTCGTTAACACTTTTAAAATTTGTTCATCCCCATCAAACAGTTATTGAGCCCTACCAAGACTTGCACACCATAAGTAATCATGAAACATTCTCTATCATTTAGGAGCTCTTGGCCCAGTGGAGGAAGACAAATAAACAATTTTAAACAATGTGATGAATGTTGTAATAAAGATAGGTCCAGAATTGCAAGAAGTTTCCTGAGGCAGGGGTGAGGGTGGGGTGGCATATGAACAAGAGGAATCAGGAACGGTTTCATGGAGCTAACTCTTGAAGAGGCATTAATGTCCACCATGGGCTGACAACTTCAATCAGGAAGAGCGTGTACAAAGGTTCAAAGACCTAAAATAAATAAATAAATAAATAAATAAATAAAGGATTGAATTGAATATACAACCCAGGTGCTCAACAAGTGGAATCTCTCACTGGCCCAGTTCACCTCTCTGACACCCACATCCCAGACCCACCCCCATTGGTGTCTTTCCTCAAGAAGTAACAACGACTTCCTTCTCCTCAGCCACCTATTCCAGGCTGTGGGGAACAAAGTGTTGCCAGAAAGAAGATAATTATGAGAGACCAAACAAAGCTGTTCCTAGACACAATACCACAAAGCCTCCTGTGGAGCCACATTCCTCAGTGGAACAAGAACCCGGTTAGTTAGCTTCCTTTCAATAGCCACCCTTATCAGAGGCTAACCCTGCCAATCTCACGTGGGAGGACCAGCCTCTGAAGACCAACTGTCAACTGAGGAGTTGTTCGGACTGATGGGACAGCTGATGGGACTGCTGATGGGACTCCATCCGAACAAAGGAGGCACCTGGATTTTCGGTCTCTTTCTATAAGCATCTTTGTCTGGGCAGTGGGCATGGAACCCTTTGCCAGATGGCAACATCTCTTCCCCCAAATCCGAGATTCTTGACCTTTAGCGAGACAGAGACTGCAGCAGAAATTTCTAGGTGTCTGCCATTCTCTCCTTTTTCTTATTAACAGAAACACTGATTTTATATGGAGCTGCAACACGGTCAGTTGAAAGACCGTATTTCCCAGCCTCTCTTCCAGGTGGGTGTGGACAGTAGGATGGAGGTGAATTTCTGGGATAGCTTACTAATGGGAGACAGAAGACTGGAGTGGATCTTTTCTCCTCCCCTCTGCCCACCCCACCTTTCTCCTGCTCCCTGTCCAGAAGACAGATGCTCAGCTCTAGCAGCCATCTTGGGCTATGAGGTGACCTCAAAGGTGGGTACCACATGCTGAGGATGACATCATAGAACATCACACCAGCTCTGATGGAAATTCACTACTGTCCCCAGAAAGCTGTTTATGCGTGCACACATAGTTTTGCAAACAATTTTCAGGGTTTTGTGAGCCCTATAACCAATGCATGGACCCCAGGTTAGAAGAACCTTGCTTTAAACATCTGGGGAGAGCCAGCTCTAAGACAATTGCTTAGATCATGACTGTTAAAGTGGGGGGAGCGTTGTGACCATGTCCGCTGTAACCTGCAAGCCCTCTACTTCCCTCTCCAATTCCAGCACCAATACCTTGGCTGCCTCATTCCTCTTACTGGTTCTAAAGCAGACCCACCCATCTCTCCTCACCTCCTCTCCTTCCCCCTTCCCCACCTATTCTCCCCGGGCTGCCAATCCCACTCCAAAGTCACTGTATACCAGGAAGGGAATTAGCATTTGTGTTGGGACAAAAAGTGACACTGCTCAGCTCTCCCCGTCATGCTGCTCTTAATTAATATTTAACCTCTGAGACTGTGTAGCAGGCGGAAGTGGCTGACGGGAGAACTCAGCCAGAGCCGGCTCTCCTTTTCACCCCTGCCTCCCTGACTCCCAGCCTCACTCGCAGCAACTCAGGGCCCAGAGGGCCCAACGAGGAGTGACGGGAAGTGACAAGGAGTGGCGGTGGACACCCCGGGGAGTCCCTCGATGGTACTTTATGGATTTGCTCTCTCAGATCTCCCGTCCAAACAGCCCTTCTGCAACGAAATGGGAGCAACTGGAACTCAGAACCGCTTGCCAGCACCCAGAGCTAGACCCAGGCCTGGCCAGCCCGGAAGGATGAAGAGACAGGCAAGGGGGAAAGAAAAGCAATGCAAATGTGCCCCTCAACAGATTATATTTAATGCACTATTTTTAGTTGCCTTCAATCCCTCGGGGCTGTCAGGGCGGTTGCAGCCCCACTCCCCCGGGGAGAGGAAATGACAGGCATTATTACCAGCCCAGAACACTGGTGCAGTGCGCGGTGGGGGGGGGGGGCGGGGGGGGTGCTGCCTTGCCAGCTCCAAAATTTGGGAACTTAACTTCCCAAATTGAGGGGAATTGAGGACACCAAGAGAGATCAGGCTACACACAGAAGGGCCCACAGGACCCCCTCCTCCATCTCCAGCCAGCCTGCCAGACCATCCCCAAATACGCGTCCACTGGGCCCAGACCAGGAGTGTGGGAGTCTCCTCAGTCCTCAAGTGTCTCAAAAACTAGGTTATACAACATCCCTCACTGCCAAGTTCTTCCTTGTCTCTAATCTTAGCCCTGCCTTCGGTCTAAGCCCATTTCCCCTTGCTCTGCATGCAGAGGCAAAGGAGGACAGCTGGGCGCCAGCCCCCAGCCAGGGAGCCCTTCTTTGTCTTGAAGAAAATGATTCAGTTTCCTCTCGGCCTTCTCTTCTCCAACCTGAGTCATCTCCAGCTCCTTTAACCTTTCCACACACGTCATGTTTTTTCGCCGATCTCCTAGTCACTCTCCTAACCCTGCTCTGGTTATATCTCCAGCTTCCTCCTTGGAACCTGATCAGACGCTGGACCTTCGCCAGGGAGCACCTGAAGGTCAACTTGAGTAGAAGAACTTAGTACAGACTGTCTCTGAGAGGTTGTCTGCTTGTCCTCGTGACCGTGCCTCTCCGCAAGACCAAACTCTGCTTACAGATTTCATCCTCTCCTTCTGGAACCTCCCTCACCCTCCTCTGCACCCAGCTAAGTGCAAAGCTTTTAAGAAGCAGCACATACATTTTCACTGGGTTTTAGGTTTAAATGAGATGCACATATAACATTTTTTTGGCCATGTAGTTATCATTTGCTTTGTAAATCATCCAGTGGCATCTAAGTGGTAGCTTTTATCGTTGTTGTGTGTGCCAGACCCCTGGAGAATGCTTGTTTTTTTAACTGTAGCAACGCAAACCATAGCACTGTCTTATAGTCAATCAACCCATAAACACTGATCGAGTTCCTGCTGTGTTTCAGGCACCATGCTAGATCCTGAGACGTCAAAACGAAAGGCCAAATTCTGGTTCCACAGGCATTCACAGCCTAGTGAGAAAGATGAGACATGAACAAGTACCAAGGAGTGGGGCAGCCACTGACCAAGCCATCATACATCCTCCAGCTATAGAGAAGGAGGGACTGACCACAACTCTTTACTCTCTATGATTATGCCTTGTTGAGCATTGGTATGCCATGCTTATGACTGCCAGCATCCCGGCCAAAGGTCGGCTGAGTTTGTATTGTCCAGGAGTATTGGTCAGCAACGTGAGCACATACCCAAGAAGGGCTGTGCAGAACCCCTCCACAAGATTTGGTATATGGATACTGAGGAAGAGATGGTCTCTTTTTCTTTTGTAGTTTGGGGCCTGTCTGCAGCCTTCTCACCAATCTGAGGGTAAATCTAACACTGAGAGACTCTGAGGGAAGCATGGTTGAAAAATGGAAAGGAAAACAGAAACCTACAATACGATTCTAAGCCCCTGGGTCCAGCCATGCCAACCCAGTCAAGCAGCCCACTGAATCCTTGTTTTTGTTTCAGCTAGGAACCCCAGAGGAAGCAGAAGGCTGAAAAGAGCCCACAGTACCAAGATGGCATCAGGTTCCAAGGAGGAAGCTGGAGATATAACCAGAGCAGGGTTAGAAGAGTGACTAGGAGATCAGCGAAAAAACATGACGTGTGTGGAAAGGTTAAAGGAGCTGGAGATAACTCAGGATGGAGAAGAGAAGGCCGGTGAGGGTGCTGAGGGGTAGAAGATCGTTGCCCAGTGTGCAGACTTAGGGTAATTTTTCCTAATGTCTCCATGACTCTAATAGATAGAGGAGAAACTCATCTAGGGAGGAGAGGTGGTCAGGTGATGGAGTAGCTTTGGAGTTAAGCGGACTCCAATGGAATCGCAGCTCTGCTGCCTACCAGCTATGTGACCTTGTTCAAGTTGCTTAACCTCTCTGTTTCCCGACATGTTCCTTGTCTATAAAACACAGATAGTAGTAATCGCTTCCCTGGACTATTGCGAGCATTGCCTGACTTCATGTACTGAATTGGGCATATATTACTCAGTCAGCCTGCTCAGGAACAACTCCCTTTCTTTTGTGGAAATGCTCTTCCCCACTCTAACCAAATGGTTCTGGAGAGCACTGCCAATCATAGAATGCAGCTGGCCACACAGTTGTGCGACAGGCTGGGTCAACTAGAGTTCTTCATCCTCCAAGCCACAGGGATTGGTGTGGGGCTGGGCATGCAGCCCGAGTCTGGTTTATCAGAGACCTCTCCTAGGAATTTTGAAATTATTATTAATGAAATCGGGATTGAAGAATGATATTTCCTCTTTAGTTTCAAGACTCTGATGGTTTAAGCTCAGAGCTGCCTGCAGCCATAGTTCCAGTAGAATGAGGATGGCAGCGTTATGCAGAGTGAAGCAAAGACAAGAAATTAAAAGGGAAGAGGAGAATCTTATTAATATTTTATACCCCTGGATTTGGTTGTCCCTGAAGCTCTACCTGTGTCTTTGCAGGGAACTGATGCCTATCCTAATGTAAATTGGGTTTCTATCCCTTACAACCAAGAGAGTCTTGATCAATACAACATGTGATGCCCTTAGTATAAAAGAGATGGCACATAATAAATGCTCAAAATAAATATTTGGCACAGAAAATGCTCCAGGAAAATGGTTTGAGACCTTCCAGGCTTATGACATATTTACTTTAATTTAAGACAAATTCAGAAGTTCTTGCATACATGTACTGGTTTACAATAATAATAATAAGTGCCCTCCCAGTGTCCCAAAGGTTTCTGCTTATAGGTGCAAAGCATTCCCTTATCGTGGTTAAAAGTAATACCCATTTTAAAGGAGACACGCCTTCATTAGCCGAAGAACTGGTAGAGAATCCTTGTCCTACGGATATCTAATTAACCCTTCAGAATATCAGCTCGACTAGACAGGCCACTCCATGTGGACTACACGTACTGTCTGCAGGAATGATGGAGGAGAGAAGTGTGCTCTGAAAGAGCT